GTATAACTTCCTTCTAGATTTGCCTAGAAAGTTCAGTGTTCGAAGTATTTGTCAGGGAATGGGAAGATCGCTACGGCGATCGAATCCGCACATGAGTAGAATCCGGACAAAACGTACAGGCAGGCAGGCACTAGGACCCAGGCGCGCCTGTCACCAATGACGGTGCTGGGCAAGCACTAGGACACAGGAGCACCTGTCAGGAGTCGGGCGGGATATTTAAACCCCAGCTCTTGCAATGCTCAAGTGCCGTATGATCTTTCCTGTGAGTTTACTTTGCTACTGACCCTGCCTGATCCTGATCTGCTGACTTCTCTTGCTCTGACCCCTGGCTTGCCTGACCATTCTCCTGCCTGCTCCTGCACTTTTGATCTCCTGTTGCCAAACCCGGACCGTGACCTGTTTATTCTTCTGCCTGCCATTTTGTACCGACCTGCTCCGCTGTTACTGACCCGGCCTGTCTGACCTCGCTTACTCTACCACCTCACATCAGACTCTCACCTTCTGCGTACCACCGAAAGGTGCCTCTACCACAGCTGGTTGCACCCAGGGGCCGCAACCTGGTCTCGGCTTGCTCCAAGTCCATCCCCACCATCAGGGGCTCTGGTGAACAAGCAGGTCGGAACTTAGATTCCGCGCCCTGGGGAATTCTGGTCTGTGGAACGCTAGAGGCTACCACTGGCTGGTCCCTAACAGTATTCCTCAGCCAGCCCCTCACTACCTCTATTAAAATGGACCTGTTCTATGGAAGTTATGCCCAAAAAAGGTAAGAAGAGGGTAAAGGACTAGTCACCAGTATTGCCTGTTGGCTCCTCAAAGCTGATCTTTTTATGATTACTGACTTATATTGAATATAGTAGTGGGTTGATTTAAGAATGAATCTGGGAACACCACATCCAAACAAATGCATAAGAAATTTCAAATTAAACCATATGGACTTTTAAGGTGCCCCAAGAAGTGACACACTGAGAAACTAATATTAAAATTCAATGGGGAGAATCATTTCCCCTATTCCTCTTTATTAATATCATATATAAAAGCTGGCAAGAGTCCAACTTAAATAGTCACAAAAAAGAGAGAGTTATCTGGTTACACTATAGAGAAACCACTGGTGTGGTGCAAGGAACATACATTACATCAAAACACGAAGTTAAAAAGGTAAAACAAAAACCTTAAGAAAGTATGATGTCTGTTGTAAAGATGGCTTTAATTCCTCAACGTGTTTCACAGAAATCTCTGCCTTCTCTCTCACAAGGATAGTAGCCACTAATAGAGAAGAACGAGAGACATATATACATGCATATAGAATAATTTTACATACAGTATATAAGTACAGTTGTGTTCAAAATAATAGCAGTCAGACATCACTAACCTGATCAATCACTGTTTTTGGTAGAAATGATATTTCTACATGGCAAATAATTTACTAGCAGGTGTAGTAGAGTAATAGAAATCCAACAGACCCAACAGTCATGACATGCATGCTGCTGATTCTGTGTAATTGAATCACTAATTGAAAGGGGCATGTTCAAAATAATAGCAGTGTGGAGTTCTATTAGTGAGGTCATTCATTCTTTGAAAAACAGGTGGCAATTATTGCCCTTATTTAAGGAAGGAAGGCAGCAAATGTTGTACATGCTGGTTACAGTGCATTTCTCTCTGAAATTCTGAGGAAAATTGGTCGTTCCAGACATTGTTCAGAAGAACAGCGTACCTTGATTAAAAAGTTGATTGGAGAGGGGAAAACATATAAAGAAGTACAGAAAATGATAGGCTCACAGCTAAAATGATCACTAATGCTTTAAAATGGCAACCAAAACTTGGAAGAAAGTGAAAAACTACCATTCGAATGGATAGAAGAATAGCCAAAATGGCAAGGACTCAGCCAACAATCAGCTCCAGGAAGATCAAAGAAGGTGTAAAGTTACCTGTGAGTACTGTTACAATTAGAAGACGCCTATGTGAAGCCAAGCTATCTGCAAGAAGCCCCCGCAAAGTCCCACTGTTGAAAAAAAGACATGTGCTGAAGAGGTTACAATTTGCCAAAGAGCACATTGACTGGGCTAAAGAGAAATGGAGCAACATTTTGTAGACTGATGAAAGTAAGATTGTTCTTTTTAGGTCTAGTGGCCGGAGACAGTTTGTCAGACGACCCCCAAACACTGAATTCAAGCCACAGTACACTGTGAAGACAGTGAAGCATGGTTGCGCAAGCATCATGATATGGGGATGTTTCTCATACTACGGTGTTGGGCCTATTTATCGCATACCAGGGATCATGGATCAGTTTGAATACAGTGTTCCCTCCCCACTTCGCGCTTCATGTTTTGCGGCTTCAGTGCTTCGCGGGTCAGTAGCCACATTGTGGAAAGGAGCGTTGTTTCATGTTGATGCACGAGAGAGAAGGATCCCTGTCTGTTAACCAAAGAGATGAGTTGACTCAGAGTACTGTACTGAACATACCACGGGCTTTCATAAAGGCGCGTGATTGGTTTCCAGTGTGACATCGACCAATAAGAGTACGAGTGGATTTATCTCTGTGAGTTGATTGTCTGCGCATCATTGCATCCTCACTTAGCATCTTCTCTTGTTGTATCTCGCCAGTCTTGTCCATGATGTTGATTGTCTCGCATACATTCCTGGGGGCAAATACTACTTCGCGGTTTTTCAGCTTTCGCGGAAGGTTCTGGTCCCCATTAACCGCGAAAAACGAGGGAACACTGTACATCAGAATACTTGAAAAGGTCATTCTGCCTTATGCTGAAGAGGAAATGCCCTTGAAATGGGTGTTCCAACAAAACAACGACCCCAAACACACCAGTAAACGTGCAACATCTTGGTTCCAGACCAACAAGATCGACGTTCTGGAATGGCTAGCCCAATCCCCGGATCTTAATCCAATAGAAAACTTGTGGGGTGACATCAAAAATGCAGCTTCTGAGGCAAAACCAAGAAATAGAGAAGAACTGTGGAATGTAGTCCAATCATTCTGGGCTGGAATATCTGTTCACAGGTGCCAGAAGTTGGTTGAATCCATGCAACACAGATGTACAGCAGTTCTTAGAAACAGTGGCTTATACAACTAAATATTCATTAAGTGATTCAAAGGAAAGCAAAATCTTCAAACATTTTTCAGTTTATATAGTGAATGTTTGAGTTTGTAAAGAAGAATACAAACACTGCTATTTTTTTGAACAGTCTAATATTCACTTTTCTTCAATGTTTTTAGAGGAACAACACAAATTTGATATATTTTTCTTTATGTTTTGATTTGGAATAGAATGTGTAGTGTTCCCAATGCATTTGTGTGGTATGGAAATAAAAGCTATTAGAAGGATTTTGAGCTTTATTCACTTTTTTCAACACACTGCTATTTTTTTTAACACAACTGTACATGATATACATTAGCGCTGTAATAGAGACTGATACATAACAAAAGTATGCAGATGTACATCATTCCAAAGGTCTCTCATATGGTGGGAACTAGAAAAAACAGGAAGGCAGGAAAGACCCATAAAGACTCCACCTATTGGCCAGGTGCAGGCAACCCCTACGTGCAGATGCAGGAGGCATGGGGAACCCCAAAGGAAGCCCAGATATCACAATACTTCAACAAAAACAACATTAATGGCAGATACTATATTAACAATAGTAAGCTTAGACTATATGTGTGTATTTACATTCAGCAGCCACTTTATTGGGTATCCCCCACACCATTACACCACCTCCAGCCTGAACCATTGATACAAGGCAGGATGGATCCATGCTTTCATGTTGTCTACGCCAAATTCTGACCCTACTATCTGCATGTTGCAGCAACCAGTCTGCCCATTCTCCTCTGACCTCTGAGGATTTTTAGTCCCACAACTTCAGCTCACTGGATATTTTCTCTTTTTCGGACCATTCTCTGTTAACCTTAGAGATGGTTGTGTGTGAAAATCCCAGTAGATCAGCAGTTTTTGAAATACTCAGACCAGCCTGTCTGGTACCAACAACCATGCCACGTTCAAGGTAATTTAAATCCTCTTTCTTCCCCATTCTGATGCTCAGTTTGAACTTCAGCAAGTTGTCTTCACCACGTCTAGATGCTTAAATGCATTGAGTTGCTGCCATGTAATTGGCTGATTAGCAATTTGTGTTACTAAGCAAGTGAACAGGTGTACCTAGTGACATTTCTAGGTGGGTGTGGGGGGTGCATGCCACACCGCGTGACACATATCTCACAGGGTAACACCAAAAAGTAAAGCCGACAATCCCCGCAAAATGGATCGGATATGCGGTAACACATGGTGTCACCCCTCCAGAGGTGAGCGGTCCCTGTCGTGCACACACGGCCTGGCTCTTCCCTTCCCTGTGACTCCGATCCATTATGCTCCCCAATCCATAGATCTGATCCATCTTGCGGGTATCATCGGCTTGCAGCGTATACGGGGTTAAATGATCTTGCAACACCGGTCCGGGGGGTGCTACAGGGACACAGGGAGGGGAAGAGCCAGGCTGTGTGTGCACGACAGGGACCGCCCACCTTACCACACCGGTCCGGGGGTGCTATGGGGACACAGGGAGGGGAAGAGCCAGGCTGTGTGTGTACGACAGGGACCGCCCACCTCTGTAGGGGTGACACCACGTGTTACCACACCGGGTGACACCAACCCTAGGGACGCCCCTGGGTGTACCTAATAAAGTGGCTGGTGAATATATATATATATATATGCTATAAGCTAGTAATCATACCTCAGTGGTATCAAAATTATGTCATTAAAGGGGAAACATTACTTAAGCTTAAAAAGCAAGAAATAAGTAGCACTCAGGGGCGGACTGACCATTTGGAAACTCGGGCACTGCCCGAGGGCCCGGGTCAGTAGGGGGCCCCCATGAGATGCCCCTGGTACCTTTTTCATAGGATTTTTTGAGTTTGGGCCTAATGATCCCCTATTGCCTGGGGGCCCCATAAGTTGTCAGTCCGCCCCTGGTAGCACTGTCAGTGCCACCAATAATGCAAGCTTCACCGCTGCTCCTGAGCTAAAGATTGGGATCTGCCGCTGCTTGAGTTTGCTTAAAAGATTCAGTAAATGACCTGAGCATTGATCAGAAGTCAAGGAATACTTAGGTTGTTTCCACCCCCAATTGCTTCCAGCTGGTCAAGAAACAAAAAATACAACTACTACTGCAAAATAGCAAGGTCCCAACATTTTTATAATATTTTGTCTTGTTTTTAGATCTACAACTTCTTCCCCATCTTCTATTACCTGTGTGGTGCACACAGCCAGGTGATGCAGAATATAGAAGATATACACAACTTTTTGAAGACAGAGTTTGTGGAGCACCTGAAAGGACTGGATAGAGATGACCAGAGAGGGTTTATTGATGCATTCCTTGTCAAGCAAGAGGAGGTAAAAAATGAATAATTACCTGGTGATGTCATATGCTCAGGTTTAAAGCCCAACTTCAGACAAAATACGTTATTTTGTTTGTTGGTTTTTTTATTGCTGTCATTTGTACATATTTGGAACATTTTCCATACTTTCCTTTTATGGCTAAAGTCTCTTCAACTGGGAAACAGACAAAAAGCATTTTTTTCAGAATGTGGTATTGGCCTTTAGAATAGGCAGATGTGACATCTGTTATCCTGCATGATGCCCAAGAAGATGTTAACATTCTGGAGGACACAGACAGTACAACAACCCTACTTTGTCTGTCTACACCTATATTATATTGGCTTACATTTCATGTTTGTTAAATTGGTTGTTAAATTTCATGTTTTTTCTTGTATTGCACCTAACCTTTAAATCGGTTCTCCATATTTTTTATAATTTGTTACTGTGTTTCCTAGGAGAAATCGGATCCCAATACATATTTCCATGAAAGGAATTTGCTGAGCACAGTGACAACTTTATTTATGGCTGGGACTGAAACCACCTCAGCCACCATCCGTTGGGCCCTCTCATATATGATACAGTACCCAGAAATTCAAAGTAAGTGTTCATTGTAAAGGTATTATTATTACTAGAAATTTGTGAATCTGAGTTCGATTTGCGAAGTGTTCATCAAATTGAAATCCACAAAATCCTAACTTACCATCGAACCCTAATGAAGTCTATGGGGGGGGGGGGGGGGAGCAGGGGGAATCTTGATATTAAATTCAGGCCATTTCCAAGACTAGTAGGCAAGCTAGTTTCAAAAAGGGCATGGTAAGCTCTAAATTGTGATGGGTAAAATTTAACAAAGCAAGAAGCCTGAAAAATAAAATTACTATAGAACAGGAATAGGGACATTTTATATTCAATATTTCTTTAGTGAATAATAGTAAAATTATATAACTATACAATAGCAAAAGATGTGGTTGTACAATACATAAGAAAACAATTATTATTAAAAACCTGATTTAAAAAAAAGATAACAAGGAAGTGTGACAATATAATGACATATAGGGGGATACTTACTAAAACTGGTGCACTCAGGATCTTGTGCAACTGTGCATGGTAGCCAATCAGCTTCTAACTTCAGTTTGTTCAATTAAGCTTTGGCAATAAAACCTGGAAGCTGATTGGTTTCTATGCACAGCTGCACCAGATTTTACACTAGGCAGTTTTATTAAATAACCCCCATAAGGTAATTGACATTAGGGCCACATCATAATGACAAAACATAGAATGGGAAGAGAAGCGGGAGAAAAGAGGTAAGCGAGTGAAAGGAAGAGAGCAATGAAGGAGGAGATCACAGAGTAAAGGTTATACAGTAACATCAGGAATGAAATCAAGCCAGTTAGTATATAAAGGCAATATTCAGAAACATTCAGGAGAGGGTCCTTTTAACAAGACTTTGAGGACCACATGGAAAAAACACCAATTACATGCTTGGGAGATGACACTAGCCATTTGATGGCTTTACAGACCAGTTGAGGGCACAAACACTTGTGACAGCTATCATGCCTTGAATTTAACTGTTTTTGGAAACCTTTAAATCGGTTTACAAATTTACTGCTTCTTGTGATAGTTGCCAATGTGCTTATGTCAACTTTCAACTGAACTTTCAAGCCCCCAAATGGCTGGTGTCATAACTGATCATATGTGCACACCACGGCAACTGCAGATTTAACCCCTAGACGCCGAGCACATGCAAATATGCGGCCTCTTGGCGTCTGGGCCTTGACTCAGAGCAGCCGCACATTTGCGTACCATTAGAAAATACATATGTGCTGAGAGCGCGAGCCCTGCACGCTCCCAGCACATATGTCCATGACTCACGGAAAGGTCTTGATCTCCCCTTGTGATTGGGACCTTTTCCGATCATGTGACCGCTGTGATGGTGAACCATGGCGGTCACATGACCCTAACACCCCGCCCGCCTTCCAGCTTCTGAAACTCTTAAAGTGCAGGGAAGCACCGGCGGACAAGCCAGGCTTTATCTATAATAACAAATATAGTATTACAGCATTTAAGAGACATTAGTCACAAATATTGTTCAGTGGCTGGACAGTATGTAAGCAGCTTGTTTAGGCCACAGTATACGAGGGATAAATGAGACAACTTTTAATTTTAAATAGAAATGATAGTTTGTCATTTGATAGGTATAATTATTTAATGAGCATAAATATTATACAGAGGCTAGACAGAGCAGCGTCAAAAGGCATCAGCTGCTATCTGGGTTTGCAAAAAATATATATTTTTAATGTATTTTTTGGTATTAATAGTGGTTGCGCTGCACGCAGCAGATGCCATGCATGACTACAATTCCTCTGCTTTGCCAGCTAAATTTTCCCAAAAAAGCAGTAGTAAGTTGTATTTTTTTAATACATTTATTTATTTCACTGCAATCATATCTGCAGGGGGAAAGCCTACCATCTTAGGCTTCTAATCCTTTCTTTTACAAAGAATTTTATTATAGAATAGGAAACAGCAGAGAATCAGTCAAGAACATATGCAATGACCAGCAGGAATATAACATACAAAAGATTCGATGGATAATACAGAATATGTACTGATGAGAAAACATGAAAATAAACTGCTTACGTAAGTGCCGTACAGAAAGAAAAGACAATAAATTGCAAAAATGATAGACATTTAGAGACTAATAACATAATAAACTCTCAGGAAAAATTGTTGCAGAATCAGCATACAGAATGCGAGATGAATAGGAGAAGGAGCCTCTCTGAGTACAGAGAGGTACTTAACACGCAGGGCTCTCAAAGGAGTCCAGCACATGGGTGCAGTATTGCTGGTACGGGACTCAAAACAGGAATCACAATCAGCACAAATGACCTGAAGAAGACAGACTAGACAAGAGGAAAGAAAGGAGCGAAGAGAAAGGAGACAAACAAACAGACACCAACAACAAAAAAGACTGGTCGAATCTTCACGGTTGAGCTATATTAAGCCAAGGATGCCATTTCTGTAAAAATGTTGTATGGGTGTCTAACAGTATAGCTGTCAACTTTTTCATTGACCATTATAAAGTTCATCTGGTTTTTGACAGCCTCAAAGCTCAGGAGGGGAGTCTTCCAAGCTCTCGCAATCGTCAGCTTGGTGGCCATGAACAAGTGCGATGCCAGCTGCCATTCAGGATGAAGTAGGCCCACTAATGGTTTAAATAACAGCGCTTCGTACGGGTTGCGTTTAATGTCTGTGTGGAACATAGTGCGGAGAAGGGCATAAACTCTGATCCACAATCTGCACACCTTGGGGCAAGTCCACCAAATATGGACCATGGTACCTGTCTGCTGACAACCTCGAAAGCAAGTCGGGGATTATGTGGGAATAAAACGAGCCAGACGAGCAGGCGTGTAATACCATCTATAAAGAACCTTGTATGCTTTTTCTAGAATGATAACATTCCTAGAACATTTGGATAATTGTTGGGTCATGATCCGCCAATCCTGCTGATCTATAGTGCCCCCAAGTTCGGACTGCCAACGCTGATGATAACAATGGACTGGAGGAGTTCTATGAGAAATAATGGAAGAGTAGACCAGGGAAATTAAGCCCGGAGCATGGGGTCTATGTCTACATTGACTTTCAAAGGGGGTCAGGCTTCTAATCCTTTCAAAAGGCGATGGAGGGTAAGATAGCTGCAAATGGAAGGGGGTAATTCTATAATTTGGGGGGAAGGGCAGGTAGCAACAATGAATAAACATAGAATCCTATGTCCACAGTCTCCCTAACCCCAAAACATGTCAGGCAAGCCTAAAAGGAGGGGTAGAAGTGCTGATACATGGAGGTAGTACTGTATGTGGGAAATTTTGCAAATGTGACCTTTTCCACCTCTTTCCCTTTCTTCTCCTCTTCCACCTTCTTCTCCTCCTCCACCTTCTCCTCCCTCCTCTCCTTCACCTCCTCCTCAGTCTTCTCTGTCAACTTTTCCTTCTATAATGTGATTTGACACACAGAGAGACAGAGTGTTTTTTTCACCCCACCAGACACTCTGAGAAACCAAAGTGTTTTTTTTTCACTCCGCCACTGACTCATTGCATGGAAGATAGTGAAGTAGTTCACAAAGCTTTTCTCCCAGATGTAAAGAGCTACTACTTCCATTTTCTATCTCCTCTTCTAATTCTGTCATCAACCCAAAGACTGGCCATAAGTCACTGGAGGAATTAGAGGCCACTGCAATCTCACTGGCAACTACAAGCTTAGGCTTTAACCTCACCATAAGTCTCCTAACCCCAGCCCACCATCCTTAGAAGCAAATTTGACCACACAGGTGTCCCTTCAACAGCTGTTAAAATGGAAAAAAGTGCAAATCACCCCATACCCAGCATTGTATTACCAATTGCTTCAATTCCAGTTCATGGAATCACTTCTTTCTGAAAGTTTATGGCCTATGCCACAACACAGTGGCAGGTACCCAACATCTATTTTTGTCCAGAAGGCAATACCCTAGTTGCCATTATTTTGCCCAGAAGGACATCTCTTCCTCCATCAGCACATGTACAATGTAAAGAGGCAGCAGGAGGCAGAGGAAGAACACAGGGAAGAAAGGGGTTGGCATGCTAGCGGCGATATAGAGGAGGAAATAAGGTCAGGCTTCAAGGGTGATGTTTCATCCCTCCCAAATATTAAATGAGTTGTA